CAAACGAATACGTAAATGTAATATCTGAAGCAAAACGTACATTTGTTTTACCTGATGTAAGCAGATTCTCCAGTTGGACAAGGTTTTTACGAACAACCGCTTGGCTACTTCGATTTGTGAAAAATCTCAGGAGCAACAAAGAACTTCGCCTTTATGGCGAACTTACAGCTAATGAGTTAGTTGATGCCGAAAATATAATTCACAGAAAAATTCAATCGGATTCCTTTCAAGCTGAAATTCAAAGTCTACAAAAAGGAGAGTCAATAGGGAACTCAAGTCGCTTAAAAGCTTTACCATTATATTTTACAACCGACGGACTACTCAGATTAAAAGGGAGATTGGACAATTTGAATGACGTGGACTATAACATGAACGCAAAGAATCCGATACTTCTTAGTAACGACCATCCAATCACTGCGCTGCTGATCTTTTTTTACCATAAACAAAATTGTCATATTTTTACTGAGACGGTAATTTCTAATCTTAGAATGAAATATTGGATAATTAGATGTAGAAATACGGTGAAGAAAATAATTCGTGAGTGTCAATTTTGTAAGAATAGACGTGCTAAGCTACAGACAGCTCTAATGGGACAGCTTCCTAAATGCAGAATTGAACCAACAGAAAGAGCTTTCCTAAAAGTTGGAATAGATTACTTCGGTCCCATCGAGGTATTGGTAAACAGAAGTCATGTAAAAAGGTATGGTGTAATTTTTACTTGTATGACCACTCGTGCAGTTCATTTAGAAATAGCAGAGGACTTGTCTTGTAATGCATTTATGCATGTGTTTCGTCAGTTTGGTTGCCGTCGTGGCTTTCCAATAGAATTATACTCAGACAATGGGACCAATTTTAAACGAGCAAGTAAGGATCTTAAGATAATAATTGACAATTGGTCAAATGACGAAATGACAGAGTTCTTGGCACAAAAAAATTGCACATGGTTGTTTAATCCCCCGTTGTCGCCTCATATGGGAGGAGCCTGGGAGAGATTAATTCAATCTATTAAAAAATATTTATGTTTTTTACTTAAAGAACGGTTCCCAAAAGAGTACACACTTAAAACTTTGTTTTGCGAAATTGAATTCATGATGAACAGTCGTCCACTCTTGTTTGTGTCATCTGATTTACCAGATGAAGAGCCTTTTACGCCAAATAATATATTAATTGGTCCAAATTTTCGAGAATCTTTCCATTCTGATGTGTCGGATGGAGACCTAAAATTGTTAAATATGTGGAAGGCTTCTCAGAGACTGGCTGATATTTTTTGGGTCAAGTGGAGAAAAGAATACAGGCAATATATTCTGTATAGCCGTAAATGGGTTAAAAAATTTGATAATTTAAAGGAAGGAGATATTGTGCTGGTTATGGATGCAGATTTACCAAGAAACGTTTGGCCAAAAGGTATTATTGTAAAAACCTATCCTGCCAAAGATAACACTGTTCGAATTGTAGACGTTAAGATAAAAGGAAACATCTACAAGAGACCCATTGTTAAGTTAATTAAATTAGATGTTAAGAAAACAATGTAAGAGCTTAAGTATTGCCAACTTAATTATAATGCAATACTTGGGAGGAGAATGTTGAACATTTATATATTTTTAGTTTAAATTTAAACATATAACAGACGATCAGTGTTGAAGAATGCATTTATAATTTAGTTCTTTTAAAATAAGAATTTTTGTAAAAACCGAATTGGCAACGCCGACAGAAGAGGCGACCACTTGCGAAATAAAGTGTCTATGTGAACGACGTACAAATCTGAGACGCGCATTTTAAATTTGGTCTTTCGATCGGATATTAATAATACAACTTCAGGTAAACCCTCAACAAAATGTATGTAAGTTTTCAAATCGAACTAACCCCGCAGCTCAACATCGAAGCGGACATCGAAAGATCCATTGATGCTCTTGACGATGTATTCGTGGCAGCAGCCACTATTTCAACACCACAATCGAAGGACGTGCAAATCAAGCATTTCAAAACTAATCTGCAATTAGAACAGCTTGTACTGGAAAAGAGCCGTCTGCGACGTGCTTGGCAAACCAATAGATCGCCATCTTCAAAACAACGCCTTAAGGAAGCAACTCGCACACTAAACCGAGCCCTGAAGAAAGACGCTGAAAATGCACAACTGCGGTACATCGTAAAACTCTCGCCAGGTAGTACAAAACATCCTCTGTGGAGCGCTTACCCAAATCAAGCTCCCCAATCGAAACAGTCACTTCAATAAGAAACCCATCAGGTAGCTGGGCCCGCAGCGACGAAGATAGAGACGAAACTTTTGCTTCACATCTCCCAAGCGTTTTCCAGCCGAACCCTGCCACTGGTCCATTTCAACTACCACAAATTGAATCCGAAACTATATCCTTACCAACATTGCTTCAGCCAAAAGAGATAGCAAAAGAGATCGGGGATCTGAAACCGAAAAAGGCTCCGGGTAGTCACCTAATAACACCAAAAATGATAATTGAACTTCCAAACTCAGATATTGAGGCTATTTGTAAACTCTTCAATGGGATCATACGTCTCGGCTACTATCCGAGCAAATGGAAAAAAATATACTATCATAATGATACCGAAGCCCGGAAAAGACTACACAATTCCTTTATCCTACAGACCAATAAATTTACTATTTTATTTCCTTCTTACACGGATAATACCATATCTGGAAGCACACAATGTTATCCCGGTACATCAATTTGGCTTCCGTCAAAGACATGGTACAATCGAACAAGTTAACAGAATAATATCAGAAATCCGCACTGCCTTTGAGAATCGGGAATATTGCAGCGCAATATTCCTTGATGTATCTCAAGCTTTCGATCGAGTCTGGCTCGATGGCCTCATGCATAAAATCAAAATACACTTGCGTACATACACTCATAAACTACTTGAGTCGTATCTGTACAACAGAGTCTTCGCAGTAAGGTGCAACACAACAACATCTGACAACTACATTATCGAAGCTGGAGCCCCGCGAGCAGCTAACAACATCTACGTTCGCTGACGACACTGCAATCCTAAGTCGTTCGAGGAGCCCAAGCCAAGCAACAACACAACCAGCCAGGTCTTTTCATCGTAGTTGAGAGGTGGCTATCTGATTGGCGTATTACAATAAATTAACAAAAATGTAAACACATAACGTTTACTCTCAACAGGCTAACATACCCTCCACTATCATTGAATAGTACTCCGATTCCCCAAGTCAACGAAGTAACGTATCTCGGCTTCCACCTAGACAGACGACTAACCTGGAGAAGACACATCGAATGCAAGAAATTACATCTAAACTAAAAGCCAGCAGCTCCCACTGGATATTAAACATTCGATCACCCCTGCGTCTGGACTACAAGGTCCTGCTCTACAACTCTACTCTCAAGCCTATCTGAACATACGGCTCCCCGCTATGGAAAATCCTGAAGACTATCACTGGGGCACCGTGGTATATTCGCAACCAAAACATCCACAGAGACCTCGGCATTCTTGCAGTGAAAGATGAAATTGACAAACAAAAGACGACCTACAAACAAAAACTCTCCGTGCACCCAATGCATCTCGCAAGAGGCTTGTCTCGGGTTTCCAGCAGAACCCGCAACGACCTTCCAACCCGGCAATAATTCTCATTATTAGTTAGATTACTCTAAGATTTGATACACTTATTGTTAGTATCCGAAAGGGGAAAATAAATAGCAAAGCAATTTAAAAACAAAAAAAAAAACGTTTTGAAACAAGATATATATATATATATATACATTAATAAAAACAATGAAGCTATGTCGATTTTGGTCTGAATTTTTATCGTTTCTATGGCAGCTATATGATATTGTTGTCCGATTTTAACAAAACTAAAAGTGTAATTCTGATAAAGTAAATAATTACTACATCTGAAAGAAATAATTTGAAAAACAGCAAATTAAAAATTTTTTAATATATTGTAGATGTCCAATTTTAATTTAGTTCAATTCCATAGTATTTAAATATTACCAAAAAATTAAAAACAAAGTTATACTTTTCAAAAAAAAAAAATTTTTTATTGGTCCAATGGGAGCCAATGGGAAAGCAGATAGCTTTAAAACTGAGGGACTAGTTTGCGTAAAAACGGGCGAGTGGACGGACAGACGGGAATGGCTAGGGTTATCATAACCTGGTTGGGAAGTTTTAATGCATCCACGTTATAGTCCGGACATTGTCCAAAGCGATTACCATTTGTTTTTGGCTATGCATTTTTTCGATGGGCAAAAATTGAGTTCAAAGGAGGCTTGAGGGAATCGAATCGCAGAGTTTTTTGTTAATAGAACTTCTTCGGGAGAGGCATATATACATATTACCATCAAATGGCAGCAATTAATCGAACAAAACGGAACATATAGCACTTAAATCGGACAAATGTTAAAATAATCGTCAAAAATCAATAAGAAAAAAAAACTTGTTTCTTCCATGTCTATACAGAATTTCGAAATTAGTAGGCGCTAAAGTGGCCATGGCCAAATTTTAAAATAAACTTCCGCTGCATATCCCAACTTCCTAAGTTTTATAAATTCGGAAATGTTAATGTTCTTACGGACGGACGAAAATGGCTAGTTAGACTGGTTTAAATTCTGATCAAGAATACAACAAATACAATTAATATACTCCACATATATAAAAATCGGGCGACTATCGGAGTACTGTTTTATTTATTTACTTTGGTGTGTAACCGCAATTCGGACTTCACCTTTTAAAAGAACTCATTGAGACTATTGATTTACATTTCTCTTTTTCTAGCTTTTATTGCGCTTGAATATTAGCGATGTAAAGATTCAAAGTAAAATTCATAATGGAATTGCTTTTAATAATAAAACCATTGCTAAAGCCTAGTTTCACGACTCACTAATAAAGACTCATAACGACTCACTTTCCAAAAAAGAAAACTTTATGTCAGTCAAAAAGATCGTCAAAAAAAAAAATAGTTTCACCTGTTAGGTTTGTAATAATTGATGAGATTTTTGTTTACTGACCTGCTTTATTTTTAGTTTCATTTGTAGATCCATTTAATTTATTATCTTTGTTGTTTACTGGCTTGGCATTTTGTGTGCTTATAAAATTTTCCTTACGCATGGTCTGCAAAAAAAAAGAAAGAGCAAACAATTTTTGTGGTAAAAGTATGTAAAAATAATATTAGGCTTTTAATAAATGTAAAGGTTAGTCCTTAAAAACATTATTTTACAGCTGAGGGTGACAGCTGCAAGGTTACATAAACTTCGGCTTGCCGAAGTGTCTTTCTTCCTTGTCTAGCTGCACAAATACACAAAGTATACCTGTTTTTATACCCTTGCAGAGGGTATTATACTTTCAGTCAAAAGTTTGCAACGCAGTGAAGAAGACATTTCCGACCCTATAAAGTCTATATATTCTTGATCAGCATCACCAGGAGAGTCGATCTAGCCATGTCCGTCTGTCCGTCCGTCTGTCCGATTCTACGCAAACTAGTCCCTCAGTTTTGAAGCTATCTGCTTGAAACTCTCCCAAAAGTTGTCTTTCTATTGCAGGTTGCCCGGATCGGGCTACTTTATCATATAGCTGCCATATAACTGAACGATCGGAAATGCCATAACTTTGCTGTTTTTAAAGTTAGGAAGTTGGGATTTTCTATGGGTTTTATTTTTGGTCAATCAGTCTGACCTACTGAATTTCATAAGTATCGGCCGGCTATATCTTATAGCTGCCATATAACTGAACGATTGGAAATGCTATAACTTTGGTGTTTTTAAAGTTAGGAAGTTGGGATTTTTTATGAGTATTAAGAATGCATCATATGAATAACCGATCCTATTTTGGAGAATATAATTTACAGAATATTCTGCAAGGGTATATCAACTTCGGCTCCGTCCGAAGTTAGCTTTCCTTTCTTGTTTTTAAATATTCCTGTCTTTATATAACAAGAAGTTGCCGCAGTGTCAATTAATATTTTTAATTATTTATTAATTGTTTGATCTGTACGAATTAAGTAGGGTAAGCTTACTTCTGAGCTTAGCCTAAAAAATTATCTTTCTCAATATTGTTGAGCCTCATTGTTTTGTTAACCGGTTGATTAACAGTTCCTGTGGGCACTCTTTTATTTTGTACTTGTTCCTGCTGATTGTATGGTTTCCTATATTGATTCCATTTATTATAATTATTATTCTGATAATTATTTCCCTGATTAAAGTTATTATTGGGACTATTCTGAATCTGCAAAGATTCGTCTATTTCCATAGGCTCTGTCTTATTCTGTGGTTGTCTGTATGGATTCCATTGATTTTGTTGACTATAAAAAGGTCTTCCCTGATTGAAATTATTATTTCGGTTCTGATTAAAATTGTTTTGATTTGCCAATTATTACTAAAGTTATTATTTTCCTGATTAAATCTAAAGTTGTTATTGTTCCTTTTATTATTGTTATAATTATTTAGTTGTCTTGGTTTGTTGTTTAAAAATATTTGACCGTTACCACTTTGGTTGTGCTCTGTGATTTTTATACCTTTGCAGAGGGTATTATAATTTTGGTCAAAAGTGTGCAACGCAGTGAAGGAGACATCTCCGACCCTATGAAGTATATATATTCTTGATCAGGATCACCTCCTGAGTTGATATAGCCATGTCCGTCTGTCTGTTTCTACGCAAACTAGTCTCTCAGTTTTAAAGCTATCGAATTGAAACTTTGCACACACCCTTCTTTCATTTGCACGCAGTATATATGTCGGAACGGCCGGGATCGGCCGACTATATCCTATAGCTGTCATATAACTGATTGATCGGAAATGCCATAAATTTGGTGTTTGTAAAGTTAGAAAGTTGGGATTTTCTATGGGTTTTATATTTGGCTAATCAATCCTACCTACCAAATTTCATAAGGATCGGCCGACTATATCCTATAGTCGTGAATTTAATTATTACCGCTGGATTGATCAGATGGGGATTTGTGCAAGAAACACATATAGTATTTTTAACGATTTGATTTAGGTGTCAGTTTATTACCGCTGGATTGATCAGATGGGGATTTGTGCAAGAAACACATATAGTATTTTTAACGATTTGATTTAGGTGTCAGTTTGTCTCTCTCCTGGGTATGAGTCGATGCCGATCTAGTTACGTTTTATTTATTTCCGCAGTTTTGACTCGATCGATCAGGTGACTTGGTTATAATTGACCTTGGTTAGGTAAAACTCTTAATTATAATACCCTCCGCAAATGTATAAAAAGAGAGTTACGCGATGTGATTATGTTTGTCCTCTAAATTTAAAACATTAAAAATATAAATTATTTGTTTTTAAATTTTTTATTTTTAAATTTAAATTTAAATTTGTTATTTGGTTTGGTAATACCGTAATACTTTTTTAATGTTTTAAAAAAATTACATTTATGAAAAATAAATTATTTCTTTTGATTATTAAAACTTATTTTTCTTTATTCGTCTTTGCTTTGTTAGTCCTAAAATTTTTTCAGCCGCAAGCTAACAGTCAGTTTGAGACGCTTGAAAATGGGACTACACTGATTATTTTCAACAGTATATCGCAGACACTTGTGAACTGTCACATTCCACGTTTTCTATTTCCGACAAACAGTATTTCTGGTAAAGTTAGAGCAGGTGAAAAATTAAACGGTTTGCAAGCCCACAGTTCCCGCAAGAGGGATTATCTGAACGGGAATCGACACCATCTAAAATAGCAACGCGTCATATCATATCACTAGAGAAGCTCCTCAGTGCCTTAAGGGGTTATCCTGGTCTTGACACTTTTTACAAACAAACTTTTTTATATAATAGTATAAAGTGTCAGTAATGTTGTCCGAAAATTTGAAGTCGATCGAAGCAAAACTATAGGAATGGGAGAAATTGAAAGCCCAGCGCGTCGAATGAGTCACAACTGGCAATTCGGGCTCTGGCGTCGAGCAGGTGCGGCACCCAGAAGCAGGTAAACGGAGACTATTTTGTGTCCGCTTTAAAACTTTAAACGCGTTTTTCTCAAAACCACTTTTTAGAAGTCGGTAGTCACGTTTTCTCAAAATCTATTGCACCGATCGACTTCTGCTTTTGCACACTTCTTTACAAAAATGACACTTTTAATGAAAAGTGCTACAAAAAATTAAATTTTTAATTTAAAAAATAATCCTTCGTTCAAAAACAAGCCACAACACTATCAGAAAAACTTTTTTGTTTATTTCAGATAAAAATTGACGGAGATATTATGCCTACCGCAAGTACATGATTTTTGGTGTGGTCAAGTTCAAGCCTGCCTCAACGGCTCATTTTTTCATATTTTTTGTTCAAATTTTTACACAATGTTGTTCAAACCTTACACATTAATGTAGAATAAATGAAATTTGTAAATTGTCGTAAGATCTTTTAAAAAAAATTAAAGAAAATAGGCTTTTTTTGTGCTTCAAAACCCGGATAACCCCTTAAACGATCGGCGCTAGAAATCGTCCCTGGAAAGCTTTTGACCCCAGCTTTAGTACCCTGTGCGATTAATACGCTGAGAATGCAGTAGCCTTTGTGCCACTATGCTGTCAGTACGACTACAGGTATTCTAGCTGTCCATTAGTAACACGTGTCATTTCAGTAGAGCATTTAACCATTTCGGCGCAAGAGGTCGATCTCATATCAACGTAGGTATTATAAAGTTTTTGGTGATTATCCTTCGTGCCTCCAGGTTTGCTTCACATAGGCGGCTCCTGGGAACGCATGGTACGTTCTACAAAATCTGCACGTCAAACTTAATGACGTTGACTTTTACTGCGTTGCAATCTTTAAATTCGGAAGCTCTGACACCGAATCTTTTCTGGGTTGGCAACTGAACTACATGATCCCGGCTCAATGGAATGCTAAAAGGAGGATAGGTAATAATCAGCAAAGCCACTTGGATTATTAATTACTTTTTTTTTATTTTCGCGCGGAGTCCCACGGCCCACTTACGGCACGATTCGCGATAAGATAGACGCTAGATAGGAAAATAAAGGTAAAGGTCCGGGGAAAAAAGTAATAGTTAGATCAATCTTGTGCCAATGAAGCAAGTATTAATTGTTTTAGGAGCGGCAGAGAGTCAAGATTTGATATTACAGGAAAAAGTCTATTATAGTCACAACATAATACTCTGAAAGGCTCATGCAAGGCATAATCTACTTGGCACAGAAAAGTTTAGCCGAATTAAGATAAGATTTGCATCCCAGTTTAGGCGCCGTAAAGCAAAAAGAAGGAAGTTTTTTTGTACAGATTCAATACGACCAATATGTATTCCGTATTGTGGACTCCAGACGGGAGACCCATACTCCAGAATCGGACGGACTAGAGAAATAAATAAAGTTTTAGTCAACTAAGGATCATCGAATTCTTTTGACCACCTTTTAATAAATCCAAGCACTCCTCTGGCTTTATTAACCATGGACGAAATGTGATTAGAAAATTTTAGTTTAGGGTCCAAGAGAACGCCAAGATCGTTTACAAGAGTTATTCTATCAAAAGAGCTGCCACTTAACGTGTAAGTCGCGTATATCGGATTGGCCCGATAAAAAGTCAGCTTGCACTTGGAACCGTTTAAATTTAGTAAATTATCTTGGCACCAGTTTTGAAAATTATCTAGATCGGATTGCAAGTCTAAATGGCAGGAAATGTCCTTATACTGCAGGCACAACTTAACATCATCTGCGTACATAAGTACGCGAGAATGACTTATAATTGAGGGAAGATCGTTAATAAATAATGTAAAAAGTAACGGACCCAGATGGCTCCCTTTTGGGACACCGGAGGTAACACGGAGAATTTCAGAAAATGAATTTTTAAAAAGGACCCTTTGTGACCTGCCATTCAGATAACTTGAAATCCATTTAAGCAGATCAACTGGAAAACCTAAAAGGTCAAGTTATTTAATAAGAAGTAAGTGATTTACAGAGTCAAATGCTTTACTAAAGTTAGTGTTAATGACGTATGTTTGAAAACTACTATTGAAGCCTTTTATCACAAATGTAGTGAGCTCTAGAAGGTTTGTGATTGTGGATCTACGTTTAATAAATCCGTGTTGACACGGAGAAATGATTGATCTGCAAAGGTGCTGCAAATGAGGAGTAATAATTTTTTCAAAAAGCTT